TAAAGACTTAGCTGAACTATCAAGTCAGAGTATACCAGAACTCGTAAGTGACGGACTTAGTCTCATTCCCATCCAGCATGACTTAGAATAGCATAGACCACAAATTAATCCAAATTAATCCACAAGGCCAACAAGGCTTGTTCAGTCAACTGAAAGATTAATTCACTAGGGTATAAATAACTCGAAAGTGACAAGCTTAAGAAAGGGAGTCGAGTATGAAAGGAAAACAACCACAAGAGAGAACTTGACATGTCTCTTATGAGAGGTCAATAAATAACTAAGTGAGGTATGCAAGCCCGGACTGACTTGAGACTACTCCTCCAAGCCTTACAATACCTCTTGACACTGACGGTGCGAGGGACAGCCAGACACTAACAACCTAACGACAGTGAACCAGGTTGCTACTCAGTGTAGCGCCTCTCACTTAAAATAAACATCCTATCAACATAGCTAACAATATAAGGGCAGATAATACTATAAACCACAGTAGACATTATTTTAGCTAATAATAATGCCATCGGTGATATAGTATTAAGTGAATAGCAAAATATGTGCACACTATTAATTATTAACCTTGGGTCCAATTAGAGGATGCAACATATGTACACTTATGTACACTATGTACACTATGTACAATGGTGAAATAGTAAGTGTACCACACGGTGACAAAATATGTAAAAACGGCTCAACCAGCAGCCAAGCAAGTCTGTCAAAACGCTTGGCACAAGTAAACCACGTTGCTTCAGCTTTGGCGGGCTTGTCTGTGATTGGCCAATGAAACAAGGTACTGATTTAACGACGGGACCCCTATTGATCGTTCAGTCCTTAGCACCTGGTTCACTGGTTGGAAGACAGCCTAATGGAAGTGTGACATATGCTGAATAAATTGCAACACACTTGTAGCATGCCACTGTGGGTGGTTGTAGTGACTGGAGGTCGTGGTTGGTGGTGGTAGTGACTGGAGGTCGTGGTTGGTGGTAGCGACTGGAGGTCGTGGGTGGTGGTAGTGACTGGAGGTCGTGAGTAGTGGTGGTAGTGACTGAAGGTCGTGGGTGGTGGTGGTGATTGGAGGTCGTGGGTGGTGGTGGTGGCTGGAGGTCGTGGGTGGTGGTGGTAGTGACTGGAGGTCGTTGTTGGTGGTGCTAGTGACTGGAGGTCGTGGGTGGTGGTAGTGACTGAAGGTCGTGAGTGGTGGTAGTGACTGAAGGTCGTGGGTGGTGGTGGTAGTGACTGGAGGTCGTGGGTGTGATGGATCGTGGTGGTGGCATTGACTGGAGGTCGTGGGTAGTGGTGGTAGTGACTGGAGGTCGTTGGTGGTTGTGGTAGTGACTGGAGGTCGTGGGTGGTGGTGGTGGTAGTGACTAGAGGTCTTGGATAGTAGTGGTAGTGAATGGAGGTCGTGGGTGGTGGTAGTGACTGGAGGTCGTGGGTAGTGGTGGTAGTGACTGGAGGTCGTTGGTGGTTATGGTAGTGACTGGAGGTCGTGGGTGGTGGTGGTAGTGATTGGAGGTCTTGGATAGTAGTGGTAGTGAATGGAGGTCGTGTGTGGTGGTGGTAGTGACTCGAGGTCGTGGGTAGTGGTGGTAGTGACTGGAGGTCGTTGGTGGTTGTGGTAGTGACTGGAGGTCGTGGGTGGTGGTGGTAGTGACTGTAGGTCTTGGATAGTAGTGGTAGTGACTGGAGGTCGTGGGTGGGAGTGGTAGTGACTGGAAGTCTTGGATAGTTGTGGTAGTGACTGGAGGTCGTGGGTGGTGGTGGTAGTGACTGGAGGTCGTGGGTGGTGGTGGTAATTACTGGAGGTCATGGTTGGTGGTGGTTGTAACTGGAGGTCGTGGGTGGCGGTGATAGTGACTGGAGGTCGTGGGTGGTGGTAGCGACTGGAGGTCTTTGACAGTAGTGGTAGTGACTGGAGGTCTTGGGTGGTGGTGGTAGTGAGGAAGTCGTGAATAGTGGTGGTAGTGGTAGTGACCGGTGGTCGTGGGTGGTGGTGATGGTGACAGGGGATTGTGGGTAGGGGTGGTAGTGACTGGAGGTCGTGGGTAATAGTAGTAACAGTGACTGGAGGTCGTGGGTGGTGGTAGTGACTGAAGGTCGTGGGTGGTGGTTCCTACGACCCCAGATGCTAAAAATAACTCGCGGATGAGGCGATGTGAAGTTCTACATTGACACATTGGCAGTGTGTGACGCTGTACACTGAGGCAGTGTGTGATGCTGTACACTGAGGCAGTGTGTGATGCTGTACACTGAGGCAGTGTGTGATGCTGTACACTGAGGCAGTGTGTGAGCTGTACACTGAGGCAGTGTGTGATGCTGTACACTGAGGCAGTGTGTGATGTGAAAGCTGTACACTGAGGCAGTGTGTGATGCTGTACACTGAGGCAGTGTGTGATGCTGTACACTGAGGCAGTGTGTGATGCTGTACACTGAGGCAGTGTGTGATGCTGTACACTGAGGCAGTGTGTGAGCTGCTGTACATGAGAGCTGAACTGTGTGATGCTGTACACTGAGGCAGTGTGTGATGCTGTACACTGAGGCAGTGTGTGACGCTGTACACTGAGGCAGTGTGTGATGCTGTACACTGAGGCAGTGTGTGATGCTGTACACTGACTGGGAGCAGTGTGTGATGCTGTACACTGAGGCAGTGTGTGATGCTGTACACTGAGGCAGTGTGTGATGCTGTACACTGAGGCAGTGTGTGACGCTGTACACTGAGGCAGTGTGTGATGCTGTACACTGAGGCAGTGTGTGATGCTGTACACTGAGGCAGTGTGTGATGCTGTACACTGAGGCAGTGTGTGATGCTGTACACTGAGGCAGTGTGTGATGCTGTACACTGAGGCAGTGTGTGATGCTCTACACCGAGGCAGTGTGTGATGCTCTACACTGAGGCACTGTGTGACGCTGCACACTGAGGCAGTGTGTGATGCTCTACACTGAGGCAGTGTGTGATGCTTGCTCTACACTGAGGCAGTGTGTGATGCTCTACACTGAGGCAGTGTGTGGCGCTCTACACTGACAGTGTGTGACACTCTACAATGAGGCAGTGTGTAACGCTGTACACTGAGGCAGTGTGTGATGCTCTACACTGAGGCAGTGTGTGACGCTCTATACTGAGGCAGTGTGTGATGCTCTACACTGAGGCAGTGTGTGACGCTCTATACTGAGGTAGTGACGCTGTACACTGAGACAGTGTGTGACGCTGTACACTGAGGCAGTATGTGATGCTCTATACTGAGGTAGTGTGTGACGCTGTACACTGAGGCAGTGTGTGACGCTTTACGCTGAGACACTGTGATGCTCTACACTGAAGCAGTGTATGACGCTCTACACTAAGATAGTGTGTGTCATGTTCTACACTGAGGCAGTGTGTGATGCTCTACACTGAGGCAGTGTGTGATGCTCTACACTGAGGCAGTGTGACCCTGTACACTGAGGCAGTGTGAGGCAATACAATGATGCAGTGTGAGGCGATACACTGAGGCAGTGTGACCCTGTACACTGAGGCAGTGTGACCCTGTACACTGAGGCAGTGTGAGGCAATACAATGATGCAGTGTGAGGCGATACACTGAGGCAGTGTGACGCCCTACACTGAGGCAGTGTGTCTCTACACTGACTCTGGTCTTGCAGTATTGATCCTCGGCGCCCACCACCACCACCACCACCGTCGCCGCCGCCGCCATTTTCACTTTCCACGGAGTTTGAGCAAGTGCGCTTGGAACGCCGCCCATCCCGCCCCCTGTGCCGCCCATCCTGCCTCCTGTGCCGCCCATCCTGCCTCTTGTGCCGCCCATCCTGCCTCTTGTGCCGCCCATCGCTCTGTGCGCCATCGCTTTGTGCCGCCCATCCTGCCTCTTGTGCCGCCCATCCTGCCTCTTGTGCCGCCCATCCTGCCTCTTGTGCCGCCCATCCTGCCCCCTGTGCCGCCCATCCTGCCTCTTGTGCCACCCATCCTGCCTCTTGTGCCGCCCATCCTGCCCCCTGTGCCGCCCACCCTTCCCCCTGTGCCGCCCATCCCGCCCCCTGTGCCGCCCATTCTGCCTCTTGTGCCGCTTGCTTGTGCCGCCTATCCTGCCCCCTGTGCCGCCCATCCTGCCCCCTGTGCCGCCCATCCCGCCCCTGTGCCGCCCATCCTGCCTCTTGTGCCGCCCATCCTGCCTCTTGTGCCGCCCATCCTGCCTCTTGTGCCGCCCATCCTGCCTCTTGTACCGCCCATCCTGCCCCCTGTGCCGCCCATCCCGCCCCCTGCGCCGCCCATCACACCCCCTGTGCCGCCCATCCCGCCCCATGTGCCGCCCATCCCGCCCCCTGTGCCGCCCATCCTGCCTCTTAAACTACACACACCTGAGCTACTGTGCTCGTCCTTTCAACTGAAGACCTTCAAGATGCTAACAGGCTCTTGATCCAATGAACAGGAACCTATCTCTTCCTGAAATTTAAGTTGATTAACGACCCATTACCTAGGCGTTATTAGCCCATCACTTGCCTCCATTAATATAAACAATTACAATAATAATATCAACAATAATAATTACCCTTGTATTCTCCTCCAACTTGTATTGTTTACTTCTAATATCTGAGTCAATGTCTTCGTAAAAAGTACTTTTGGCCTAATAGCCGCCTTATTTTTCGGTCCAGTTTCGATGTAATAATTGTGTTTGGTTTAATAAATATGCAGATTTTGTGGTCTGAGGTAAATGTGTTGAGTTTTAGTGGGATGTGGAGATGCGCATCTGCGCATGCTTAGTGTGACGTCACGATCATTATGAATGAGGCTTCGATGTTGTTACCAAGTTGACAAAAATACCTGGAATTTTTTAATTTGTTGCTGGGAAGGGAAGATAACTTGGTATTAGTTTGTGGTTGATATGAGTCATTTTGTGAGGAGTTGCTTCGTGTGTGTGTGTGTGGTAAGTGTTAGCTGGTGGTGATTATGTTATTGTTAATGATGTGGTTGTGGCAGAGGTTGGTGGTTGAGTGGTGGTGGCAACAGTGAGGGTGACGAGCAACATGGCAACTCCAGCGATCAGCTGATGGACGCTGTCTCCCCCGTGAGCGGCGCCGCCACACAGGTAACACCTCATCACCAAGCAGCTGTCAAGGTGTGCTGGTGTGACACAGCAGCAGTGTGCTGGTGAGGCAGTGGGCGGGGCACCAGTGTGGGCGGGGGTGGGCGTGTGAGGGCGGCCTGCTGTTTCCAGCATCCCAGCTGATGCTAAGATGACCCCCGCAGCTGCTGCTGCTGTTGCTAATGCCACTGCTGCTGTTGCTGCTGCTGATGCCGCTGCTGGCTAGGCTCACCTCGCCATGGTGGCTTGTGGCGCCGCCAGCCGCAGCACGGCCAGGGTAGGCCTACTCGCCTCTTGGCCTAAGTGCACACCATCCCCGTATATCAGCCGTGTTACGTTACTCTTCAAGTAACATCCACCTCACGTAACATGCAGTGAGCGCCTCTTGCAACAATCATGTTAGAAAATTGTGTATTGTGGACTCTCTCAGCAAGATAACATTTACTGAGGATAACTGAACCTCTTATAGACAAGCTGAGTGAAGATAGAACATACGGGTAAGTGCAGGATGACCAGCTTATCTGTGTTATGGTTTCTTTGTGAAGATATCAACCTGAGAATAGCGAATTTTTGTGATTTTAACAATAATATCTGGGAAAAAAGTGTGTAGGCGTTTAAGTGTTGCGTGTAGTGATGCACAGGAAGGTGTTCGTTGTATGCGTCTCTGAGACGTCACTGTGTACACTTGGCGTCAAGGAACGAGAAATGCTTTTGAAACTTGTATTTAAAATTGCTAGATCATTAAATTTTCCACCGTGAAATATGGAAGGTGAGGTAAATGTGTTATAATGTGAATCATAATACCTACCTATGTATACTACAGTGTTGTAATGTAAACCGTGTTTACCTGTAATGAAATTTTACTTATAAAATACTGGGTATTAATTTAGCTGTTATAAATTAATGGTCAGTGATTTCGTCAATAAATAGTGCGACGCACTGTGCTGGAGTTTGTTTTAAGACATGGCCGCTGACGGAGGCTCAGGTCTCCGTAAGCTGCTGTGTATACCATATTCCAGCCTACAACACAGTAAGGTATTGTGCTCACATACTACTTAACCTTGTCTGCTTCCTTATTAAGCTAACTCAACGCCAATAACATGTCTTGCAAGGTCACTTAACCTTGCCTGCTTCCTTATTAAGCTAACTCAACGCCAGAAACATGTCTTGCAAGGTCACTTAACCTTGTCTGCTTCCTTATTAAGCTAACTCAACGCCAGTAACATGTCTTGCAAGATCACTTAACCTTGTCTGGTTCCTTATTAAGCTAACTCAACGCCAGTAACATGTCTTGCAAGGAAGGTCACTTGACCTTGCCTGCTTCCTTATTAAGCTAACTCAACGCCAGTAACATGTCTTGCAAGGTCACTTAACCTTGCCTGCTTCCTTATTAAGCTAACTCAACGCCAGTGATATGTCTTGCAAGGTCACTTAACCTTGCCTGCTTCCTTATTAAGCTAACTCAACGCCAGTAACATGTCTTGCAAGGTCACTTAACCTTGCCTGCTTCCTTATTAAGCTAACTCAACGCCAGTGATATGTCTTGCAAGGTCACTTAACCTTGCTTGCTTCCTTATTAAGCTAACTCAACGCCAGTAACATGTCTTGCAAGGTCACTTAACCTTGTCTGCTTCCTTATTAAGCTAACTCAACGCCAGTAACATGTCTTGCAAGGTCACTTAACCTTGCCTGCTTCCTTATTAAGCTAACTCAACGCCAGTGACATGTCTTGCAAGGTCACTTAACCTTGCCTGCTTCCTTATTAAGCTAACTCAACGCCAGTGACATGTCTTGCAAGGTCACTTAACGTGAGGAGATTCACATTTATATAATTTATATTGAAATAAAGCACCTTGGTAGCAGCGAAAATTTACACTTATCCGTAAATAGAGGCAGAGTATTGTTGTGTACTGTACTGTTGTAGAGTTGTGAGTGTTATATTAGAGGGGGAGAACATTATTAAGGAGAACTGATTTTCGCATAAAGAGGGTTATAAAGCGTTACTGTTAAGATAAAGTGATTCATTGATTTTTTTTTTCGTTTTTTCCGATCGTATTTTTTTTTTTGTATGCGAAATCTGCCATAAGTTACTGTTTTACTGACGGAAAACTGATGTCTTATTGACACTGGATGCTGTCATGTTGATGCTGCAGTTATGCTGACACTGGTTGCTGTCATATTGACACTAGTTGCTGTCATGTTGATGCTGCAGTTATGCTGACACTGGTTGCTGTCACATTGACACTGGTTGCTGTCATATTGACACTGGATGCTGTCATATTGATGCTGCAGTTATGCTGACACTGGTTGCTGTCATATTGACACTGGTTGCTGTCATACTGACACGACAGTTATACTGGACTGCATTTATACTTACACAGGCTGTAGTCATTCTGACTAATATGTGTTGTTGTCACACCAGAATGTACTGTTGTCACACTAAAATGGGATGTTGTCACATCAACATGTGTTTTTGTCACACCAACATGTGTCGTTTTTACAGTAACATGTGCTGTTGTCACACCAACATGTGTTTTTGTCACACTAATATGTGTCGTTTTTACAGTAACATGTGCTGTTGTCATACTAACATGTGCTGTTGTCACACCAACATGTGTTTTTGTCACACCAACATATGTTGTTGTCACACCAAAATAATGCTCTTGTCACATCAGTATGCGATATCATACTAACATATGATGCTGTCACACCAACATATGCTCTTCTCACATCAACATGTGATGTCACACTAACATGTGATATTGTCAAATCAACATGCACTGTTGTCACACCAACGTGTGGTGTTGTCACCAGCATGCGTTGTTGTCACACCAACATGCGCTGTTGTCACACTAGTACATGTGCTGTTGTCACACCAGCATATGTTGTTGCCTCACTAACATGTGCTGTTGTCACACTAATATGTGCTGTTGTCACACTCCTATACCTGAAAGACTTCTTACTGTGTATAAAAGTCTGATCAGCGAGGATATTAGTGCTGGCAGCACGCAGCTCCCTCTTGAAGACAGCGGTCCATGCTGGTTAATTCGCATTGTACAGGGAGGGAAGGCGTTGAAGAGTCGGTTGCCTCTGACGCTCCACGAGTTCTCTTATAGTGTAGTAGTCACCGCCTCTTGCTGTCATCTGGAATGATTCCTTTTAAACCATACCACGGGTGGGGTTAGAACCCGCGATCAGAGAGTCACAAAACTCCGGACCGTCGACCGTCCAGTGGCAGACTGATCGCGAGTTCTAACCCCACCCGTGGTATGGTTTGTTTGCAGTCGTAAGTCATGATTCCTGTTGCAGGTTTGGCATCACTTCCTTCAGGATTTTCCACGTGTAAACTGTGATGTATCTTTCTCTCCTACGTTCCCAGAAATAGAATTGAAAGGACTACTGGCCAGTGAAAGTTTTTTGTACGTTTTCTAGCTGAACAATCTCGCCTGCCTTGAAGGGAGCTGTTAGAATACAGCAGTATTCCAGCCTGGGGAGAATAAGTGACTTGAAGGGTATCACTGGCTTAGCATCTCTTGTGTTGAAAGTTCTAGTTATCCAGTGTATCATTTTTCCTTACAGTAGCAAAAATAACATTTTTGTGATCCTTGCATGTGAGATATTCTGACATCATCACTCTCAAGTCTCGCACACACGACTTTCACTTAATTCAATTATTTGAGTTTGTCCTGTTCACCATTTCCATCATTCTTCTATAGAGAAACAACTTAAACCTGTCCTCACTGAACATCATATTGTTGTCTGAGACCAACTGGAAGACTTTATTTATATCCTCTTGAAGATTCTCTATGTCTTCGACTGACCACTCGCATTAAGAGTGTATGAGAGTGGTGTCATCAGCACAAGATATTAAGATGCTATGATTTATGTCCTTGTCTATGTTGGATATAAGAATGAGACAAATGGGGCGAGAACTGTGCCTTGAAAAACAGAGCATTTCACCGAGTCAGCCTTTAACTTCGTTGTGTTTACTTCTGCTACTCTAAGTGCCATTTGTTAAGACGTTAAATATTCATATGTCCACTTTTCCAGTTTTATTTTGCAGGCATTTTGTGCGCTATCACATCGTGTGACTCTTGTTGAAGGCTTCCACGAAAGCCTTCGACAAGATTGACTTCCAGGCCATCCAAGACTAGATTGTGCAATTATTGCGATTTTAAGTGATTGACAATCTTGCTTCCTAGGACCTGTTCAAAGATTTTGACGTGTGATGTTAGCGCTATTGTTACATGGTTACTTGCAACTACATGGCGGCCACTTTTGTGAAGTAGTCTTTAATGAATGTGAGATAACACCTGTGTCGAGGTTCTCCCATAGAATATTAAAGGTCAGAGATACCTTTCATATGCCTTTGATGAATTTCGAGAGTTTTCCTACTCCCGGAGCCCGGTCTAGGTCCAGGCTCATCTGGCTCTTGTTTAGTCGTCCAGGCTGTTGTTGCTGGCGGCTCACTGGCCCACATATCCATCACAGCCAGTTTCCTCTTTAAAGACTTATACACTTGTCCCAGCAGTGTTTCTGATATCTTCTGGTAAGATGTTGAATAGTCTGGGGCCCCAGACGTTGATACAGTGTCCTTTATTTTACCCACTCCACCTTTGCTTTTCACAGAGTTTATTTTACACTTTTTCCGATATCTCCTACTCGAGTAAACCATACCCCCAGCCGGGATTGAACCCGCGGTCATAGAGTCTCAAAACTCATGTTGACGGCAGTGAAGGGACTTGAGCTAGAGTTCGTCACGGCCACGCTAGCTGGAGATTCGTCTGTAAAAACTTGCATTTGTGGTCACAGAGGTGCCTGTGCTAACTTTCCTATGGTGTAGAAATATACCTAGTTGGATGAATCTTATTGTGGCTAGCTGGTCTAGTGGCTAACGCGACGGGCTGGAGTTTTGAGACTCTATGACCGCGGGTTCAATCCCGGCCGGGGGTATGGTTTATTTGCAATCGTGTCATTACGATTTCTTGAGTCCTACTCGAGTATGTTGTTATGGCAGTGTATAGATTTGGGACAAGGCTTTCAAATACTTTCCTGGTATATATTATTATGTATCTCTCCTCCGCTCCAATGAGTACATATTTAAGATTTTAAGGCGTCCCCAGTAATTTAAATGAATTATTGGCTCTCTGTAGGAAGTAGGCGATCTCTGTATCTGCTCCAGCTCTGATATTTATCCTGCCCTGAACGGGGCCGCTATTCCAATATTCCAAATGAGAGAGCACAAGCGATCTGAAAAGTGTCACCATTGGCATTATTTCCCTTGTTTTGAAAGTTCTCATTATTCACCCCGTCATCCTCCTGGCTGTCGTGACTTTGGTCTTATGTTCTTTGAAAGAAAGATCAGCTGATATAATTATTCCCAGGTCTTTCACGTGTTTCTTTCGTTCTATTTGACGACCCTCTTGAGTTTTGTATACAGTGTTCCTTTTGAGTTTTTCATTCTTTTCATACCTAAGCAAGATAAGTTTTCGTTCGGATTTTTAACCCCGGAGGGTTAGCCACCCAGGGTAACCAGCAGCTGAAACTTATCACCATTGAACGTCATGTTCTGCTCTGCCCACTGGAAAACATTGCTTATATCTTCCTGTATTTTATCAGTGTCTTCTACCGAGGTGACCTTCGTGATTATTTTAGTGTTATCTGCAAATGATTCAAAACTGCGATGGATATTTTTATCTGTTTACTGTGAGGATAAGAAACAGCAGAGGTGCCAGAACAATGCCTTGGGGAAGTGAACTTTTTACCTCGCTGATGCTGGATTTTGCTCTGTTTGCTTCTACTCCTCTTTGTGTTCTATGTGTTAGAAATGTGAAAATCCATCTGCGCACCTTCTCCGTAATGCCTATGGCCCTCATTTTGTGTGTGATAACCCCATGATCGCATTTGTCAAACGCCTTTACAAAATCTGTCTATATCACATCACCATTTTGGCTTTCCTCTGTCATAGTGGTTCAGCACCTGTGACAGACATGATCATCCAGTTCTATAACCGTGCTTGTTTGGGTTATGCAGAT